TTCATAGTCAACAGCACCCATTCCTCGCTAACCAAGTGATTACAATTAGCTTGCATATTAAAGTGTTTGATTGACTTACCAGTACCAGCAGAAAATGTTGCGCAGAAGACAAGTATCACAAGAGACAAATGCATTTTTCTTCCACAGCTTTAAAGTAAAAGAAGTCTCGTATGTATCAAAGTCTTAAACGTGAACGCCCAGCCGCAAAGCAAAGCAAGAAAGAACAAGCAGGACTGATTAGCATATGTAACCTCTGGCATGTAACTGTCAGCTTACTCTAGACAATAGTCAGCCAATAGGGACACAGACGAATAAGGTCTCGGGGAAGCAAAACAATGAATATTTGGAGTCGAGGTATGAACTTCCTGTGTGTACATTAGTAATAATTAGTGGAATGTTCTAGCTGCACAACCACAAGAACCTTCAAGTACAAACCTCAAAGACCAATACGCACATATATACTTAAAACTATTCTAGATTCTTCCTACAAACTATAAAAAAGATGTTTCTGGGCTTATAGCAATACTATGCTGGCAAAGCTCCATGTAGACATAAGATCACGCCCACCTTAAGGCAAACACCAACTGTTAGCTATCAATCTCGCGCGATCGACCGTGGACAGCCCAGGGTCAATAGACCTGGTGATAGACAAGTTATTTTGTTTTCGAGAAAGAAATTTGAAGCTTGATYAGTTTGGTCTTGTTAAGCAAATTCTTTGTAGRATGTTCGGTTCTATTGCTTTGACAATTCAAGCCTTAATTCTGCTCTTAACAGTAGAAAACAGTGCTTGTCACCAAACCTCAACAACTAAAAATACGCGCGAGTATTACATTGCTGCAGTCGTGAGAGATTGGGATTATGCTCCAAGTGGAGTGAATAAAGCTAATGGACTCAAACTAGAAGACGACATGTAAAATTTCTATGTTGGTTGTTCTGTAGATATACATAAATACATCAAGAGTTATCATTACAGTAATTTCATTACAGTATTTAAAACTGAGACAGCATTCGTGCCTCATGCCAGGGAAGGTCGGGTTCTGCTTTCGCATTGTACGAGCACTAAATAAGGAAGAAGTCTAATAAAATACAACATCCTGAAATCCATAATTATTGTACACAGCAGACATACTCCAAACGTTTCTTCGTGTTGGTCAGACTGCGGACAGAGTTTCGTTATGCAACAGACCGGTTCCGGCATTTTTGCCACGAGTTTCATGATTTGTTTTGACTAGTCGTGAAACCCGCTCAGTATTTAATATGCGAAATTTATAAAACCGTTTATGATATCACACTGTCTTTCATTTCATTATATTTTCCCTTTCATTTCATCCTCAGCTACTCTACTCCATGTTATCCCATGGAATGTCATATTATGTCACATTATACCATGGTTATGAGGTTCTTACAGAGACAGCCTCTTAATTACTAGACTTCATATTACATTAAAATTAAGAAAAAGTGCTACTACTAGGTAGAAGTTTACAGAAATTAAAGCACCAGGCAGCTTGCATTACTTTAAATAAATTCTTAAAAATGGTAATAAAAAAGAACAAAGAAAGGATTACATAAATCAATATTAAGATAAATTATTTCTTAATTTCTTAAAACATTGTCAGAGCAAGTTGCTACTTAATTTTAAACTAGTTGCCTAAGATTTGCCATTTTGCATGACTTCGTAAAATATCACTTCTCTCGAAACAAGTGCTAAAATACATTCTCTAAGGAGGGCATATTTTAGAGGCTTATGCGTAAACCTTAACAAACCGAGAGAATAGGCCACGTTCGATATCTTAAAATTCAGATTTGATTGTGAAGCTTTAATTTGTATGGCACTTCATTTTTTATGACACATACATGTGGATCACCAAATACATTTATTGGTATAAGAAGAAAATAATGTACCATTTACAGCTTTCCTTAAGCTTGTTTTGGTGGAAAATCTAATTGGTTTACTACCCAACAACATAATAATTGAATGTACAGCACTATATCTACTGATGCTTTTGGATTTAATGCAATTTTGGACATTTGAATCCAGAGAGCCTTGGCATCCTGTTTGGATTTTATTATAATGTCGAACGTGGCCTATTGGATAGGATGAATGATACTTCCCACAACTACCAACTGAAGCCAAAGAAAGTACTTTAGACTTAAGCTTGATAAGAAGTTCGAAGGAAGCTAGTTGCAGGACAACTAAGAGGTGATGCATTATTTCTGGAACTACCCTGTTTTCCTCAGTTATTAAAATGACTATTAATTGGAAATAAAAGGAATGCTTTGGGAAGTCCATTTGAATAATGATCAATAAGGCTGTCAAACTTTAGAAGAAGTCCAGTTTGGGTTAGAGTTTGTACTGTGTATTGATACAGCATCTGGATTGGAGGGGACTTCCACTGTCATTCGAGAATCTATCTCATGCTGCAACTCTTCACACTTGTTACGAAGCTAAAGATCATAAGGATTGACAGACTTTAAAACTGCAATTGCTTTTGAACAATAGTATTTAAATTGGAATTAAAGCATGTTGAGATTTGTATCCTCACCTGTTCACAAAGGCAAAACAGCTCACGATTTCGCAGTTCTTCAGACTCCTTTAAGAATACAAAGTTAACATTTAATCATAAATGATATTTGTAAGTAAGCAGTTAACAAATTAAGTGGCAATTAGCGAGCTGGTATACATAATAGTAGTTGCAATTGATTGAAAAGGTTAATTTTTTTTACATACTTGTGCCTGCATTCTTGGATTCCACCTTATGTAGTAATGAGTCCATAACTCTAGTCTGCGCATGCTGGGCACAGGGAATAGAACCTGAACAAAAGATTGAATTTATTAATACAATTTCACATTTTTTTGAGGTTTTGTCACAATTGTACAGTTAAAGACCCTTTGCAGCTTCATTTCACCACAGGTATTCCAGTGGTATGCGCTTTTAAAACAATCATTAGTTTCCCTCRTTATAGATACTTCTTGCTGTTGCTGTCCTTGGGGTCTCTTATATTATCCCTATTTCTTCTCCAGGCATCGTAAATCAAGCAAATCTTGTGTCTATTGAGTAATTTTTTGTCGTTATATATTTTGCTCACTTTCCAGAAAAGTCTGCCCTCCTGTAAGGTTTCCCTKTTGTTTGGTTTTCAATATCTGGAAATTAAAGTACTTATAACTTCCAGCAACTTTTCCACATCCAACGACAACTTTTGTGGCCCTACAAATAAACTAGCCAGTGGAACAGCTGTAAACACAACTTAAATTATTAAATAAATTTTATTGTATTTTAATGTCTGAACAACTTACATGCTGGTGTAAATATGGTGCATAAAGAGGATTTTTGAATTCCATATTCTGAAACAAAATTTTAAAAAATTAAGAAATTGTAAATAATATTAGTTTATGTATTTTTCTAGGTCACTGTTTTGCATTTGCTTTGGTTGATTTGGCTGAGTGGGGATTAGTTTTTGTCCCATACTCCTCACACCCCTCCCTTGGGGATAYTGGACTAGCTACTAATCCTCGCTCAGCCAAAATGACCAATGAAAGCAAACAAAACAGAGACCAAGGGAAATACAGGGACTGCTTGCAGTCTAAGCCAAGAAGACAGTTTTGAGGATCAGGATTTTAGATAATTAGCTTACATTGGAATTTATATAGGACCATAGTGACACAGTCTTGCTTTTAAGATCCTGTGAAGTTAAAGATAAGAGAGTCAGTTTTAATTAATTATATGACAATTTTATTAA